CAACCGCAGGAAATTATCAGCTCTACAGAACTGCAGCTGCCCAGAAAGGATCTGGATTTGAATTTCTTGCTGAAAACGACAAGAACGATTATGATTGGTAAACTGCCTACCCGCTTACCCTTGTCTCATCACCTAATTGTTGTCAACATATAATTTTAATTCATAGTTCATAATTTTTGGGGGGTAATAAGGGTTTATATACATATTTTTTTAGTGTTCACAGTTAGGTACTTTGTTTTTTTATTCTAGTTTCTTAAATAAAGAGATCTTATCAAATTGATTAATTAAAGAGAGAAAGGAGACAATCCAAAGTTTTTAAGTTTTATTTACCAAACAAATGCTAATTATAAACTAGCAAGTTTACTGAGCTATCTAATAGTAGCTAATAATCATTTCTATATGCATCAAGGTTGAAAACACCGCCCGCCACTCCTCTTTTTCCATCTCTAGAAATGGACACAAATGGCCACGAACTCGTCATTCAAAGGGAAATACCAATCCTCCAGCCTCTTTCACGGGTATGTATACTAAATATATATATATCTGCAATGTTCTTTGGAATTATATCCTATATTATCCTCAAAAAGTCAAAGTAGCCCACCTTAACCACAATATATATATAAACAAAAACGCTCAATATTGCATAAATTGGTTTATAGTGGCTTTGTTTTGTAGAAAGCAATGGAGAGATAGATATTAGTTCTCTTAACCTAGAATTTTAATCTTGTTTATGAAATTACATTATAACATGACAAACAAATTTCAAAAACAAATAAATCAAAAGACAAACCCACACGATTCAAATATTATACATAATTTGAACTCTATGTAATTACCTATAGGATGACTAAGAATGCCTAGCGGGAGGGTGAATAGGTCAATTTAAAATTATAATCAATAAATAAAAATAAACTTTAGTAGCAAAATTGATATGGCTTATCAATCCTAAAAAGTGCAGAGTATAAAATAAAGGAACACGCAGATAATTATTTTACGTGGTAAAATCCCACATCTTGGGAAAATCCACGAGACTCCTCAGTCTAAAACAAATCCACTATAGAACAATGATTACAAGAAGAACTCACACACTTATCCTAGACACATTCTAGATAATGTTTACCGACTTCTTCGTAACTCAACTTTTGTCACTATGTGATCTTTCGACACTCCCTATGTTGAACGTAATACTGGTCACGATTACTTCAAGCTCGCCGGAGTTCTTCCAACTCTCCTTATGTTGAATTTGATACTGGTCACGATCGATTCAAACTCACCTTAGAAAAACACCACAACAGTCTTGGTGCTATCAGCTGTATGAGTCACCGAACATCCAAATGAATGCAATATGAATGATAAAAGTGTGATAAATCAGCAAGTAAACATGGAACACTTAATGATTTATCTCAAATAAAACTCAGCTTTCCAAAGTTTATGGATTGAAAATATGATCATGAAAGCTCTTAAAACATAAAGAAGACAAAGGTCTTATTTTATAGACTTTTTCTTTACAAGAAAGAGCTGAGTCATATATTCATTATTTGCATTAACTAATGAAAGGAATTGAACGAGAGCATTAAACCAGTTTGCAGGTGGCAATTGCAACTCAGAGGCAGTTGAGCGAAGAAATGGCCATGGGAGGCCAAAACAGAAAATCCCCGTCATGATCCCAAGCCAAAGACGAAGTTGCAGCACAGTATCATCGAACGTTAACGCCCAAACAAAAAACAGTAGCAAAGCAAGAGCAAGAGCGGTACCAGCAGTAGTTAATCATCATCTCAACCAGAAAGCAGCCGTTGAGTCTGACGGTGACCTCACAAGATTTAAAAGGTCAGCAAATAATAATAATAATAATATGGTCAATGAAAGTAATAAGGCCAATAATATCGACCAAAAAGATGGAAGCCGTAGTAGTACTAGTGGTGCAGCTGCTGCAGATTTGGTTTCGTCGAGCAGGGCCATGGAGGAAGGAGTGAAAATGGTATATTTAAAAGCAAAGCCAACAACAGGTAGTAGCACAAGCACTAGAAGAGGTGGAGTCTCCATTGTGTCATCGTCGACTCAAATTGCGGCTGGCTTTTGTAACGAAAAACCTCCTCCTAATCTGAGGACAGAACAACGCTCGACATCTGCTAGCACCACACGGGGACGGGGTCGAGCCAGCGCGTCGACGCACCAGATACAGAAAGCAGCTGATGATCATCAACCTGCCGCAAAACCATTACCAAGGAGACAATCATGCTCACCAAGCGTCTCTAGGGGTCGGAAAGTAGTGGAGGTGCAGGAGGAGGCTACTACTACTAGTCTAAAAGGAAGAATTCAATTTCAAACAGGAAACGGAACCCAAGTTTTGGGAAGTAGAATGGTGCAGAGAGTGATGAATGCTAGAAAATCAGTTACTCGTGAATGTCATCATGAAGAAAAAGATCATAAAAAACCCAACTCACGGTTTCCCATTCGTGAAAGCTCTGGTTTTGGAAGAATTTTGCATGGCATGGCACTGCCTAATTAATTTAAGAGACTACATTAATTATATTTATATATATATATATAGCTCTCAAACATAAGGTACGTACGTGTATACGAACATATATATGCTTCTTTCTTTCATTTTTCTTTTGGCAATTGAGTTATAATCCTATTTGTATTTTTGCTTTATTCAATCTTTTAATTAAAAGATGGAATTTAAGTAACATTGCGACTGAAAGAAGCAGAGAATCCCAGAGCACCACTTCAAAGCGAGGATGTATTTTGTTTTCTTTGTTTTTTTAGCCAGAAGAAGCGATATGATATTATTCCAAGTAAAAAAGTACAAGTGGTAATGGAAATTTGAAACTCAAATCTTGTTTATTTTATTTGCGGAAAGCTCAAAATGATTTAAACATGCATCCTGCATATTTACAAAATTGCACTTTAAATTCAAATTGGACCAAGCCATGGCTATTCCAAGCTCATCATCAACTTTCTAAATTCTAAATTCTAAATTGTCTTACACATATAACTTTTGTAGTGAAAAAATCCATTTTCATTTATTTGTTTTGTTTTTCTTCATCATTATTGTTGTTTCGTAACGTTTAACAAAACAGACACAAAATCTAGGATGCAATTGATTGGGTGAGTGATTTAGCCGCATTGAATACTTTCGTTGACCAATATACATGTTTTGAACATTAAAATCTGTGTATCAATTAGGGTGATAAAGTGGGTAATTTGAATACTGCAACTTAAAAAAGAAATAATTATTAATTTGAATATCTGCAATTAAACTAGAATGTTAGACATATAGGAAGGAAGGGTAGTCCCAGACTCCAACTTGTAGCTACCGTACATACTGGGGATGAGAAGATGGGTCATGTCACTACCCATATCACAGACTCCAATTTCTGAAATTAAAATGAGATGGGATGGGAGGTCGGGAAGAGACTTTCATGCAATGAGGATAACACTTTTTGTTATTCCCAATTAATAATATAATGATACATGAGATAATGTTTCCACAGATAATTGTGTTATTGATAGGGGATAACAAAATAGTACCATCCCCGTTATAAGAAGGTTTTTTTCAGAATAAGGAGGGAGAGATAAATCATAGATATCCTTCCTTTCCCTTTAATTAATTAGTTAATTAGTTAATGTTATATATATTAAATGAATAATGCTAGTTATAAGCATACCACATTATGTACCACATCTCTAATAGAGATAATATACCCTCCTCAACCTCAATGTCAAGGTCAAGGCCCTCAACCAAATTGCCTTTTTTCTATCACTATTCGACCGCCCACTCGCACCCACCACTATATCTCTCTCTCTCCCTCAACGTACGGTACGCACGTAGTGAAGTCATGTACGAGTCATTTCCTTAGCCTTAGGACTGCCTTGTGTGATCATCATCTTTATATGCTTATTCCGTGCCATTTGTTTTTCCGGCGAACAATTAGAAGCCATCCCTAAGAGAAAGAGTGCCAAATTAAAAAGAAGACGACATTTGCATGAAGCCTCTTAGATATATAAAATAGGTATCCTCCACCGCTTCCTTCTCCTCAAAAGTAGCTCAGCTCAGAAGAAAAAAAGAAAAAGAAAAAACCAGATAGTTGAAACAGAGAAGAAGACAGAAGAAGAAATAAACATCCATCAGTCATCAGTGGAGGAGATTCAAGAGATGAGAATTATATATATATGTTATAGTAACTGCGAAGGCTTCGTGTTGATGTTCCATATTCATAAGTCTACTAGCTAGTAAAACTTTCATCAAGAAAATAAAAAGGTTTGACCGAAGAAATTGAGGCCACCACAGGTACTCTCTCTCTCTCTCTCCTCCCATTTGTCATCTTTTAAAATTTCAGCTAGCATAAATAGTATGATTATTCTTTTTGCTAAACTTTGAGGACAATATATATAAAGGAAGAAGAATACAAGAGAAGTGGCTCTCTCTCATCAAAGTTCCTCCCCTCCCCCCACATAGTCAGAGAGAGAGTCATTGAGTCAGACTCCTCTTAATTCTTATTCTTTTTTCATTCTTGCTCCCAGGAGGACCCATCCCATGGCCAGCCTTTGTTTTTTCCTTTTCATTTTTAATACTACTTTTTGCTTTTTTAGACATTATTTATTTATTTATTTGATAAGCTTATTATTATTACTATCATCCCAAGAAAGTCTTGAATTAATTAAAACTAAGTAGTCCCGTTTGATATAATAAATCTTTGCAGAGACAGAAAAATGAAGTAATACATCTATCTATCTATATCTTTAGTATGAAAGTCAAGCAAGATCTGCTTCCAAAGCTTTCATCGAAAACAGTGAGATAGATAGAGAGCCCTTTTTTCCTTGAACTCCTTCCTTCACGAGATCCAATCTCTCAAGCTCAAACCCACGGGTAAATCACCTTTCTTTTTAATTTAAATATTATTATACAAACTACTTTATGCTTCCTCCCTCTCCTTCCTCATCATCAAGGTTCAAAATCAAAACCCTAACCACCCACGACCCAGCCCGCATCAAAATCAAAACCCTACCCACCCACGACCCAGCCCGCATATTATCTATTTTTCTCTCCTCCATCCCTCTCCTCTCTCTAGCTAATAGCTATCATCATCAAGTCAACAGATACTTGCACCGCTGCCGCTTAGGGTTTCTGGGTAACTAGAACTACACTAGAAAATACTAGTTATATATGTATGATATTCATGTATATATATGCTCATTACTCACTGTATATTAATTCTTTATATCTAACTTGCCTTTTACAGCAGTAAGCCAGATCTCTTATACTTGAGTCAAAACGAAAAAGATTTTGTTTTGATTTTTTCTTTCAGAAAAAAAGTATTAGGAAAGAATAGCTGGCACCAGATCCTGCAGCAGGGCATATGTCAATGTTTTCTTACTCTGTTTTCACTTTCTCCTTCCGCCATACCAATTTCGGATGAACTCGCGCAAATTTCGATTATTTCCAACTTTGATTTTATTATTTTTTTTTATTTTTTATTTTTAGAATTGATTAATGTAATTCATAGAGAAATTCCAACTTTGATTGATCGTTGCTGCCTTTAGTATCCTGATCCAAATTATGCCATTATGGCCAAGCGGCTGCCATAGATTTCGGATTTCGTCCTCCTAACCCAAATTTGTTTCTTTGTGTATACTTGTTCTCTACTTGGTTCTATTCAAGAATCTTTAATTATTTTCCTACAAGTACGTTTCTTCCTTTTTTATTGTCAAAAGTAGACTCATTTGTTCTTGAGTGCAAGAATTCAAAATCAATATTAATAAGGCCCGGGACATTCATTAGTTAATTAATTAATTAATCGTTGCAGAGGAGGAAGAGGTGGAATGATGGCATCATCGTCGTCGTCGTCTTCGAATTCGCCATGCGCGGCGTGCAAATTCCTGCGACGCAAGTGCCAGCCAGAGTGTGTATTTGCACCCTACTTCCCACCGGACCAGCCGCAGAAGTTTGCAAACGTTCACAAAGTGTTCGGGGCGAGCAACGTCACCAAATTGCTTAACGAGTTGCACCCCCACCAGCGTGAGGACGCCGTCAACTCTCTTGCCTACGAGGCTGACATGCGCCTCCGCGATCCCGTCTACGGCTGCGTTGGAGTCATCTCTCTCCTCCAACACCAACTCCGCCAGCTTCAGATGGATCTTACCTGTGCCAAATCCGAACTCTCCAAATATCAGAACCTGCAGCACGGCCTCACTGCCAGCCACGGTCTCATAGCCGCCGCCGCCGCTGCTGCCGCTGCCCACACCCACCACCCCCTTCATTTACAGTCCTCCTCCTCCGCCTTACACAACAATAACAACAACAACTTGGGGATGGGAATCAATCTCATTTCAGGCGGCGGCGGAGGCCGAGACCACTACCCCCACCAGTTTTTCCCTAGAGATCGAGACCATCAACATCAGCAACAGATGATGATCAGGAGTTTTGATGCCGGAAACAGCTACGATGCAAGCCTTTTGGCCATGAACGTCTCCGCCGCCGCGGGTGGCATTCATGGCCAACTCACTCATCAGTTCCAGCAACCTAGGGCTGCTGCTGGCGACGATCGCCGAACCATTGATCCCTCTTAATTAGGATTTCCTCCATCATTTCCTTACTTTCAACAACTTCCATCGAATTAATTAAGGTATGCCCTATTACATTTACAAATTATATGTGCGTTGTCTGTCATTTTCATTTTCATATCCATCGATGGATCATTTTTCTCCTTCTTCTTTTCGTTGTTTTTGTTGTTATTTCCGCTCTTGACTTGAGGCCACAAAATAGATATCTATTAAGTGGCGTTAATTGGTTCTGTTCTGTATGATCAATTTTGTACAATTAGGGTTTCATTGAAATCTGCCAATCAGGCCAATTGCTGATCATAATTAGTTATAAGGTTTTCAATGATATTAATTGTATAGGGTTTGTATGCAAAATTTAAATACTCAAGTTCAAGTTTCTCACATGAAAATTATCAATAAAATAATCCAAGTTAATAGCATTATAGTAAGCGCATCCGAAAAAACTCCAACTTAATTATAAAGAAAAGGAACAAGACACAAATCCCACTGTTGAGTGTTGACCAAAATGACTGCCTAAAAAAAGTACTCGTATCAATTCTTTCTTCTTCTTTTTTAACAAATAATAAACATGAAAAAATAAACTTGTTACTGAAAACGAATAAACGCAACAGTTGGAGGTTGGGATTGTAATATAGCACTCAGTGTCCTGCCTGACTCTCAGATTTTTCTATGGAATAAGCATTATGCCTTACACTGCGCACGGTTGTATGACCATCTCAATTCATGCAATTGTAAAAATATGACAACATTTTTTCATTAAAAATTTCTCTCTCTGGGTCTGGGGGATTGATCCTAATTAGCGAATTGTATAATTATTTTTTGCTTTGTAAATCATAATTCCACAAATTCATGATTTAGTAACCGTTTCCTATCAATTTGGTTTGATATGCAATGCAGGTATCAAATCTCAAGGAACAATTGGAGAGATTTCAAGAGCCAAAAGAAACAGTGATGTGTGTGTGTGTGTGAGAGAGAGAGAGAGAGAGAGAGAGAGAGAGAGGGTTTACAGTTTATTCTGATTAGTTATATCTAGTTCATTTATGCCTCTTTGAATTAGTTTCACACATATCTCAACTATATATCTTTTCATGCACAATATTGCGACCCTAACTCTTCTAAGGAGAACAAGAAAAACCGAAAAATAAAAATAAAAAAGAGAAAAGAATTTTTCCACAAAACTGTGCTTGATCTTGCAGTACTCTCACAGTAACACCACCAGTTGGTCGGATTTGTCCTCTTAGGCAGCTGGCACGGTGGGTCTAGATTTGTTTCTACCCTTTTGCACTCTTGTCTCAACAATAAAAAGTATGTTTGCAGTCGAAAGCATCCCATATATTTTATATATATCGTTGTGATTTTTCTTTATAGATAGTTATTTTACATGCACAAGGAAGGACGGGACTCTAATTAAATTTGCTTCCCTGGTTAGGGTTTTTTTTTGGTACATTGGGAGGAAAGACAACTTTGGGGTTTCGATCTTGGGTGCCAAGCAAGGCGGGAAGGGGGAGGGCTAACCCACTCGACCCTAACTGTTTATTAGATATTTATACAGGGTTAGAAAATAAAAAACTTAATTAAGGTCTCTTCTTCTTCTAACAAAGTGGAGAGAAATAACAAAAAGTTAGTTGATTTCCTTCCCCTAATTACACAAAATATGGATATGCATCAACATTTGATAAATCAATTCACATTTACTGTTTTTTTGTTGTTGAATTAATTGACATATAATGAGCCAGAGTGCAGTACATGAAGCTTTGGTGATCGTACCATTTGAATTTCTACAATTAGCTTATAAGAAAAATTCTGTCAGAAATTGGGTCTACTGCTCAAAGGTATTTGTAGGCTCCAAGTATAATTGATATGACCACTTGCATTCCAACAAATTTTGCAACAGCTAGCGACTTCCTTTTTTAAAAAAATTTATATATTTATAATCTGATTGTTTGGAACTTTGGACAGACGCAGCAAAAAGAATAATTTAAGCAGCAACCAGCAACCAGCAACCAGCAACCAGCATACTGCCTTTCGAAATATATAGAGATAGTAAATGCATGGGTTAAATTAGTTTGAATGTCGTGGACACTGTCAAGTATAAATAAAGCATTTTCCGAACAAAGGGACAAGACAACGGAATAAGACAAAAATACTGGCTGATAGGTGGATGAGAAATTAAGGCAACCCTCAAGAGTTACCCTTTTTTCTCTCTCTCTGCCAGAAACATGAAAGGCCATTCCAGAAAAGATGTCATGACCATTTACTACTGTCACTTTAATGAAAAAAAAACTCAAAATCCGATGCACAAGAGAGAGAGAGAGAGCAAGTAGGAGGAGGAGGAGACAGAGAGGGAGATAGACATGAATTTAATTGAAGTTAATAGCAGATGAGATGAGATACTTATATTCACTCATACCAGCTAGCTGGTCTATCTTTAATTTGATAGGTGGTCAGTGTAAGACTACTCAGTATGTGTAAAATGAAAGAGGATCCCAATTTCTTCCTTAGGTTGGTTGGTCGTTCAATTCAAAATCAAAACAAGGTCAATTCAAATCTCTAACAAAAGTCAAATCAAAATGAAAAAAAAAAATTTATTTGCATGACAATGATGACGTTAGTGTAATGATCGCTTTGCTTTTAAATGCATTCGCCAGTGTCTCTCGCGTACCCATCAGCCATCAGGCAGGGTACTACAAATGCTGACGCATGCTATGTTCTCATTGCATGGCATGGCATGGCATGTCGAATTAATACATACATGCATTCATTCATTCATCATGCATAAGCATATAAGCCCCTGTACAGAGTACATGTATTAAGCAAGTGGGCAACATTGTCATTGAAGAAGAGATGCGCGAATATGCAAGTATATATGTCCACACACATATGTATATGTGGACATATATGCTTTGCATATTCGCGTATCATATATGATATATTCACTCCTCTTTCAATTAAGAGTTCATATATCTCTTTTTTAATTTTGGATTTTGATTGCTTTTTTTGTTTGATTGTTTGATTGTCTGTGTATTTCTTTTTAAAACTTGAGTTCTTTCTTATATCAATAAGGTTTGAAAGGAGATGTTCCGACACAAGCAAAGCACGTCTTGTGGTTGTTGTGGAGGCAAAGCAAATAATCAGTGAATAAAATGGAAACAAAGAAACCATAAAAGTGTCTCCTCGTGGGTGGGTGTGTGTGTGTGTTTTTTGGGGGGTAATATTAGCATTTATTTTCGTGTTGTCCCTCTGCGCAGTGGACTACCCCACAAGGCAGGCACAAGGGGATCACATACAAATCCCCCATTTACTACTCAATAAGGCCCGCCCTTTTGCATTGCATTTATTGGATAGTGCCAGCACGACACTAGCATATAGCTTAGCTTAGCTTTGCTATACTCTCTCTCTCTCTCTCTCACCGTAGTCAGGCATGCAAGCAGAGAGCATGAATATGAGATATGACTAATCCTCAGCACAGCAAAGCATCATCACTACTCAGATCAGTATTATTCCAGAGTCTGGCTGGCCCTTGACTATTCTCTCTCTCCATTGTGTTTGAGGAATGTTAGATATCTTTTCTTTGGGGTGTCACGTATATCTAATTCACAACAAAAAATATGTATTTGTTCAACAACCACACATTGTCAAAATTTTATCCGTATTTTGCTAAAAAAATCGATCCTTATTTAACAACCACACATTATCTAACCAATTCTCTCTCGATATGTTCCTCAAAAAATCCAATTCGTGCGGATTCTTCCCCAACTAAAGAAGAGATCTTGGAGGAATTGCCAAATATGAAATTGAGCACAATTTTGCATTGCACACTTGTTTCTCGAGAAAAGATGGGAAACATGCCCAATTTCATTTTACATAATGTATTTGAATATAAAGTAACACATTAAATATATGAATTTATGTATGAATAAAATATACATGACACAAACTAAATGGAAAAAAAAAAGTAATTAAAAAAAAGCCTATTTGAGAAAACTCTAAGGAAAGAAACCCTAGTTGCCACCTCCTTTGGGCAGGGGCGAACGCACAAAGTTTGAATATAAAGTAACACATTAAATATATGAATTTATGTATGAATAAAATATACATGACACAAACTAAATGGAAAAAAAAAGTAATTAAAAAAAAGCCTATTTGAGAAAACCCTAAGGAAAGAAACCCTAGTTGCCACCCCCTTTGGGCAGGGGCGAACGCACAAAGGGACAATAAGGGGCAGGTGACCCCATGTCAGCTGGAAAGGTAGCTATGGAGATCTCAGATGACCCTATGGCTGGCTGGTGTGCGACCCCAAAGGTGCCCACCAGATGTTTGATGAAAGGTTTGAAAGACCTTGCGACTCTGCTGCTGCGTACAGCACACGCGAGGTCTTTTATTTTTAAATCGCCTGGCCAAAACGACGTCATTTTGGTCTAGGTGCATTCAATTTTTTTTTTTTAATGACCTAGCTTCAAAACAACGTTGTTTTGAGCCAGCTTTAAAATAAAATTAAAAAAACAAAGAACAGAACCCACCCATTTTTTTCACATTCACGCAGGTCTTAAATATGCTGATCTTTATATCAATTTGTTCATATATTACAACTGTACAAGCCCGTTTGTTACACCTTCTTAGCTTGGATTGGACTGGACAAATTTTTATCCCTTGTTTGTTTTCACTTGGTTCTAGTATTAAGTGGGACTGTTAATACTAGCCCCACCAAAAACACCTCCTTAGGTGTTCCTATTGAGACCTGCGTGGAAAGGGAGGACAAGACAGTCCCGAGCCCTTCGCTAGCATTCTTTTCCTTATCGCACCTCTCCACCCAAGCGCAAGACACCAGCCACAACCACCGAGCACCCAAGTAGCCAAGAGCCACAATGGGTCGTGTCGTGTCGGGTTCGTGTCGTGTCAAACTTTTAAACGTGTCAAGAAACCCCAACCCAAACACGACCCATTTATTAATCGTGTCAGGAAATGCAAACCCAAACCCAACCTGTTTATAAACGGGTTGACACGACACGACCTGTTTATGACCTGTTTACTAAACAGGTTGGGTTAGGTCATAAACAGGTAACCTACCTGTTTAATAACCTGTTTACTTACTTGCTTGGGTTAGGTCATAAACAGGTAACCTACCTGTTTAATGACCTGTTTAATAACCTGTTTGCTTCAAATTTAAATTCTAACAACCATCTCAAATATTCTGCCAAATCAAACATTCCAAAATGACAATAAAATTAAAAACTTCAAAATCCCTCTAAAATCCAAATCAAACATAAACAAAAAAAAACTTTGATTAAATTACAACATAAAATACAACATCACATTCCCAACTCAATTATTCAGCCACCATTGTTAATGATGGTACTAGAGCACTCGCCAGATTGTGAGGGATTTATGTCCAACCGACTAATATCCTCAGTCAGTTCTTCCAAGTTGGGTTCTAAAGTGGAATTTTCTGCAATTCAAACCATAAGACTTTAGATGATGATAAAAAGAAACAAATACAATGAATAAGATTATGGGAAATATACCTTGGTCACCAAATATCCAATCTCGTGTACAAATTAGTGCCTCAACATTTTCAGGTTTGAGAGCACTACGATACTGATCAAGCACTCTACCACCAACACTAAATGATGCCTCGGATGCGACTGTAGATATTGGAATAGATAGTACATCACGAGCCAAAATAGATAGTTCAGGATATCGGAATTGGTTTGCTTTCCAAAAATCTAGAACATTCAAATTTATCTTCCTGTCTACTTTAGGCTCATCCAAATACAATTGCAACTGTGACTTTTGGGAAGAAATGGTAAACTCCTCACTTTCAAATGTATCAAATTCCTAACAATATGGCAACATTATCAATATCAGCCCATAGTGAAATGTAAACTGAAATTTTATGTATTATGAACAAAATAAATAGCTTTTTTACCTTCATAACATCCATGCATTCCTTAGAAATCATGTCATCAACATGAGAAGGAACACCATTTGAGGTATTTGATGTACCAGCAACTGATTCAGACGTAGAATGTGTTTGCATGTATAAATCAAAGAGTGTATACAACATATCACGAACTTTGGCCATTTCTTGGGAATTTGAACCATACAACCTTTTATAACAAAATTCCACAAATTGCATTTTATATCTAGGATCCAATATTACAGCAATTGCAAGGATCAAACTATACTCTTTCCAATACTTATCAAACTTTTCCATCATTTGAGTTGCCATAGATCTCATGAAATTATCTGAATCAATCTTAGCCTTTCTCAAAGTATCTTCCACCACAAACACTTGAGGAAAATACAGATTTGCAGTAGTGTATTTAGTCCCAGAAAACAAGCAAGTCACATCATAAAACACCTTAAGAAACTTGTTAAGTTTTTCTAATTTTTGCCACTCATCTTCAGAGAGAGAATGCTTGTAATTAGAATCACTTAATTGCAAATGCAGAAATGCCCGTTGATAGTAAAGTGCACTATCAATCATAAGAAATGTGGAGTTCCATCTAGTGGGTACATCTTGACGCAAGCCTTTTTTACAATCTAAAGAAACTTGGGCAGCACAATCTAAGAATTTCATTTTCCTCCCTTGTGAACCTCTAACATACTTGATACTTTCCCTAATTTTCCCCACAGAATCATGAATGTGTTTCAAGCCATCTTGCACTATCAAATTCAGGATGTGAGCACAACATCGAACATGAAAAAATATACCATTCATTAATAGTGCATTCTTCAAGTTAAGCTGCCCCTTTAACAACATAACAAAACTATCATTTGAAGATGCATTGTCCAAAGTCATAGAAAAAAGTTTCTTTTCCACCCCCCAATAAGTCAACAACGTATAGATTTTCTCACACAATGCAACACCACTATGAGGAGGAGGCATAAAACTGAAATTCAAAATTCTTTTTTGCAATTTCCAATTAGCATCAACAAAATGAGCAGTAAGAGAAAGATAACCATCTGTGGTTATAGAAGTCCACAAATCAGATGTCAAACAAACTCTTCCAGGGATTGAGCCCAAAAGTTCCTTAAGCTTACCCTTTTCTCTATTGTACATACTCAACACATCAGCCCTTGCAGTATTTCGAGATATCAATTTAATATCAGCACAAATGTAATTGAACACTTCCCTAATTCCAACATACTCAACAAATTGAAAGGGCAGATCATGCATGATAATTGCCATAACTAGTAATTCACGAAATTTATTAGGATCAAACTTGGCAGACCTTGTCATGATAGCCCCTTCAGATTTAGATATTAATAACTGGCCCAAATCACGAGTATCAGATTTCAAACAAGAATTAAGATGACGCTTCAAATTTCCAGTACCATATTTACTATCACAGAGGTATTTATGACCACATTTCATGCACTTTGCATAAACCTTATTATTTGGATCGATAGGAAGAATTTCAAACTTAGTCCATACATGTGATGTGAGTTTACGCCTCTTACCAAACTGATTTATTTCGCTGACACTGTTATTGTTAGCTGGATTTGATTCTTGCACATCACTTGTAGCTGCTCCATCGTTAACACTGTCACTCCCATCTTCAAAAATATTCATCTGTATAAAACATAATAAGTTTATGTTAATCAAAACAAAAACAAAAAATTATAGTTCATGTTTCCATATTTTGTATTGTGATATACATTTTTGTCGTTGAAGATGTATCATCACATACATCCTAATAATTAATCAGATACATTGAGTGCAAGAAAAACTTTTAGTAAATTTTACACTTCAGAAATTACACCAAGTTTACTGCCTAAGAGATAATTAATCAGATAATTAAGGCTGCAGCTGAACCTCTGATTCAACCTGAATCTGGGAAGGTTCTGGCGCAGAGCTTTCTAGTAACTAAGTGATGGCCCAGAATTCTACCTTCTGCACCGGAGTTGGGTTCTTACCTACTTGGAGGAGTATTGATGAAGCTGCAGCAACAGAGATGAGTGCAAGCCCAGCAGCGATGGTGGTGAGGGATGCAGACAGAGGGAGAGAGATGGTGAGGGATGCAGACAGAGGGAGAGAGAAAAGAAGGAGATGACGGCAAATGGGTTTAATCAAAGTGATAGAGAGAAGTTTTAGCTTATATATGTGGGTTGACCTAGGGTTAAATCGGGTTATTGGGTTGTACTTGTAAGGTAAATGGGTTTGGTACTATACGGTAAATGGGTTTGGTACTATACATATTACCTTATTTCCATCTCCAACATTTAAGTAAATGTCTTTGTCCTTTTACTTTAATTTATTTTTATATTACTCCATTTACTTAAGTTTACAATGTAAATAAGGAAGTACCCCCCATTTGGATTCAAATAAAAATACTAGAAAATCAAATTCCCACCAAATCAAAATATGAAAAATCAGTTTTAGTGCAAAATACGATTTAGGCTAAAAATGATGGCTCATTAAGTCAATATATACTTCATACTAAAATCCCATTAAATCAAGTTTTCTTATTTGATGTCTAAGGAATAAAAACCGCCAAAAATTATCTTGAGAAAATGATTATTCCGAAAAACCATTTTTCATACTTAGTCAATATTGCACATCCGCTAAAAAAGTGACATGATACAAATTTTATAAGTTATACGAAATTTCTTTTGGGATTAGAGTTTAGGGTTTAGGGTTTAGGGATTAGAGTTTAGGGATTATGGTTTAGAGTTTAGGGTTTAGAGTTTAGGGTTAGGGTTTAGAGTTTAGGGTTTAGGGTTTAGGGTTAGGGTTTAGGGATTAGAGTTTAGGGATTAGGGTTTAGAGTTTAGGGTTTAGGGTTTAGGTTTAGGGATTATAGTTTAGTGTTTAGAGTTTAGGGTTTAGGGTTTAGGGATTAGAGTTTAGGGATTAGGGTTTAGAGTTTAGGGATTATGGTTTAGGGTTTAGGGTTTAGGGTTTAGAGTTTAGGGATTAGGGTTTAGGGTTTAGGGTTTAGGGTTTAGGGTTTAGGGTTTAGGGTTTAGAGTTTAGAGATTAGGGATTAAAACGTTAAACCATAAACCCTAGATACATAATTAACTCAAATAATAAGGAATAATTACTAACAAATATAATTTAGGGAAAAAAATATAATAATTAAGTGCTCATCAGTTTGTAAAGACATTATAAATATCAAATATTGTAACATATAATCACAAAGTTATCAACACCAAGATGGATAAGGAGCAAGGAGAGGGGTGAAATTGGCTGGGGTTCGAAACCCATTGGGTGTGCTGAAGGTTTAATTTCTTTAATTTTTTTCGCGGGTTGGCAGGTATTAAATGGGTTGACACGACCCACGCGGGTTGGCAGGTATTAAACGGGTTGACACGACCCATGACACGACCCGTTTAATAAACGGGTTAAACAGGTAATTAAACGGGTTGGCGGGTTGACCCGAAACCCACCCGTTTATAAATGGGTCAGTGGCGGGTTGACCCGAAAATTACCCGTTTATAATCGTGCCGTGTTCGGGTCGTGTTTTTCCCGTGCGGGTTTCGAGTCGTGTCACGTGTTAATGTATACCCAAGCTCATGTGATGAGGACATCTTTGTCAAACCCATTAGGGTTTACAAAAGAATGAGATGGAAGAGGAAATCATTTAATGTGGTCTTTAAATCTGACAATTTTTTATTCATGCGATTAATTTCTAACTTGTTCTCTAAGTTTTCTAGACTTTAGTAAAAAAATTAAGTTTTCCAAATTTTAGTAGGATTTCTAAGTTTCCTATTTATTTAGGTTAGAATTTCTATTTTAGCAAGGGATTTTTATCATATTGTCTTTAGGTTTTAGTTTGCTATAAATACCCATGTCATGTAATTCATTATGGAGTTGAGTTGTTGAGATATAAAGAGAAGTTTATTTTCCAGAGATTGGAGACTACTTGGTGTGAAGCCAAACCCCTGGAGTGATTCCAGACCTATCCTTGTTCGTTCTATTTTCTGTTTTCCATTGTTTTTGCTTCTGCTAAACTACCTAAATTCTCAATTCACCCATATCTTACATCATCGTGGTTATTAGATTAGGTTAATTTTATACCTAGTTGTTTTTCTATGGCTGTGATAATCAATGACTCAACAAAATCAAAGGTTGGCAAAGGTAAATTCTATTAAATTTCAGAGAGACGAGTCAGTGGCCCACTATTAGAAACACCGATATTGTCTCCAACTTAACCACTTACAAAGCCTCATAGGTGTGGGGTTTTGTTACAAAATGCCTCGGTGATATCAGTAGTGGAACCATTCATTATATCTTTAGTCAAGTTTCCAATGTGGGACTTATATTCTTCAATGCGCCCCCTCACATGGGACCGATTAATTGATTAGGGCTTTGTGTTTTCATTACTTTATTATGGGCTTTTTTATATTTGATTAGGGTCTTGTGCTTAGGTTTTTTTTATACATGTTTTGTGTTTTGATTAGTTGATTAGGAATGAAAATGCTATTGTTTAATTTTTCAATGTTATTTTTGTTTTAAAAGAAAATTCGAAACATTTACACTATGACTCCATATTTTAAGAATCTTGGATCCACCACTGCTTTTGGGGATTGGCAGCCTTCCACCATTCCCCCTCCCCTCTCCTCTCCTTATACCATCTCTCCTCTTCTTGGGTCCCTTTTCCCCCTTTTTTTGCTTTGTTATTTTGTTTTGTGGAGTGGAAATAGCCACCGTGAAATGTTGTCATTGCCTTGATAGTTGTCGTCTTTTCACTACACAAGAATTTGGCTCCAGTTATCAGCCTTCAACATGGGTTTGGAGCTACAATGCTGGGAAGATATTGGGTTGCGTCGGGTTTGGGTTTAGCCGATACTACACTATGAGTTTAGCTTTTATGGCGTTATGACTCTTTTCGGGTTGTACGGGAGGATGTGGAGTAGCGATCGTTAGGTGTTTACTGTTTTTTATTTTTTCTTTATGATACTTTTTTGTTTCTTTTAAGCTTTCGGCTTTCTATATGGATTTGTCGATTCTGCCATTGCGAGACATATTTGTATAGTAGGTTTAAGTAGGCATGCTTTTGGTTGTTGGATCGTATATTTTAATTACTTTGTGGGTTGTTCGTGATTCTCCCTAAATCAATTAAACTTGTTGTTACGTTTAGTTCATGGAGAAGATTTATTCATACTTGACACCATAATAGCTTTGTACTTGTTTTGTTCCTCTTATCAATAAAATACTAATACTCTTTTTTAATAAATAAATAAAAAACACACAAACACACGAACTGAATGGTGAAAGCAAGAAGGGAAAGACAACAAAGGAAAGCAGCTAACATTCCTCTTACAATTTTACTGCATCATTTTTTTATGACTTGCAATTTTTGCAATTTACAGCTTCCCTTTCCCCTGTTGGAATCTGCCCTCCACACGGTTTCCAATAATTATATTAGATGGTTCCATTACAAAAAGGATAGATGATAGAGAAAGAAAAGATAACAACGTTTCAGTACGTACGCAGCAACACCTGTTACATCCTCTTTTTCTTCCCCTTTTCCTTAAATACCTACCTTTTGTCCCCTCCAAACTTCATATATTCCACACACGCTCAAAAAACTCAGAACCTCACCCACTCGGTCTTCGCACTCGTCCTTCTAATCAAAGAAAAGAAAACATTAGGGCCGATTTAATAATTATTTCAATTTTAATTTTTAGTTTTTTTTAAAACTAGAATATAGAGGAAAATGAGAGTGAGAATGAGAATGAGAATGAGGATGAGATTAAGAAAGAGGAGGGTAAAAGTCACTTTTGGTTCCTTTAGTTTGGCACTTCAACCACTTTTGACCCCGTAGTTTCAATTCCGTCAATTTTGACCATGTAGTTTCATATTTGTAGTAATTCAAGGACAAATTAGTATTCCTGTCAATTCTTTGACGATGCAAGGGGTAATTTCATCAACCCAAAATTCTTGAGCATAAAAGCTCGTCTAAAACTCCCCTAATTTCATATTAGGGCTTGAAATTGGTCATTTGGGTTTAGGGTTCTTAAAAAATTGGGATTAGTGGTTGAATTTCAAGTCCTAATATGACATGGGGAGAATTTCAAACATGCTTTTACGCTCAAGGGTTTTGGGTTGACGAAATTGCCCTTTGCATCGTTAAAAAAATTGACAGGAATACTAACATGTCCTTGAATTGCTACAAATATGAAACTACAATGACAAAATTGACGGAATTGAAACTATAGGCTTAAAAGTGGTTGAAGTGCCAAACTACAAGGACCAAAAGTGACTTTTGGGAAGGGAGAGGTAACAAAGATGAAAACAAAAACTTGAAAGTGAAAACAATTTCAAATAGATTTCACTTTTTAGTTTTTGTTTTCACTTTTGTTACTCCTCCCTCACATCCTCCCCTCTCAATCTCATCTCCACTTTCATTATCACTTCCATTCTCCCTATTTTTCTTCTGTACTCTAGCATAAAAATTGAAAATGAAAAACTAAAATTGAAATAGTTAGCAAACGGGCCCTTAAGGTATTTGTTTATGCTGCTTCTTCTTCTTCTTGATATACATATGCCATTCTGCCTTTCTGCAATAGATTTCATCGTCTGAAATGGTATCGTCACCCAATTATGTCTAAATCCCTTTATTTCAAATTATGAAATACACGCGTGATTTCATCCCAATTTATAGAAATTACCCCGTCTTTTGACTTCAATTACAAGCTCCTACACTGTATTTATTTATTATGATACATATACATATATCAGTAATTGATGAGACAAGTATCATCATGTCACATGGTACAAGTTCAAATTAAGCATTTTGTTTCATTTTTGGTTTCATTCCAAATTCCATGTAACTTCAAAGCGTGACAGACATATGGGAGAATGTTCAAAAAATACACCTACAAATGATACGAATCACTGGGACTGAATCAAGGTCTTCATATTCTTTGTCGTCTTCTTGACCTTACATGGGCTTTTGGCTAATCATTTTCTTT